CTGTGTCCTCACCCTGCGCGTTACGTGTGATTGCAAAAACTGCAGTAATACATGTTACGTTACGTTATGTTATCCAATTTTAAAAAAGAAAAAAAAAAGTATTACCGCAGTGTTGGAAAGAAAGAGTAATTTCATAATAATGACGTTTTACAGCGATAACAGCCATAAAACAGCTGCTGGGCTGAAGTGTAGCTTTATGGTTTTATAGGAGCTTCGAGTGCTGTGCTGATACTAAAAAGCAATGCTTTTCACACCGGGCGCACAGCAACGGGAGCCCACTTCTAGCGTGGAAATTTATCACAGTGGGGAGATTTTGCCACCTAGCAGTGAAGGTCTCTCTTTAAAGCCATTTATGCCCCTGTGAGCCCCGTCTCACCGTGGTCTTAACTTCTCCATCGGCAGCGCTGTACAAACGCAGGGCGGGAGGAAATGCAGAAGCAGCGAGGTGGTGTGACCTGCCAAGACGCGTAGCTCCAGTCTTCCCAGCCCCATCCAGAGGTCTCCTGGGGCTACGTTACCTGGCACGGGCTGGGCCTTGGCTGCGGTTTGAACATTTATCGTGTCTTCCAGGTACCTGGTATCTTATTTGTTCCAATTAACACCCACAGCCTGTGCTAGTAGTTTCCATTTGAAACCTTCATTTGAAAGAAGAGGAAGAAAAATCATGTCTGGTCATGCCACGCCTCAGGCTGACAAGAGGCAAGGAGTCTTACACCCACAGGAAAAACACTTACTGCTGGGACCAGGACATACCCGCTGGCTACCCACGGCAGAGGGTTGTTACGACCCAGACTGGGTGACTCGGGGTCGTAGCGGTTTCGTGATTCCCTTGGGCTAAATTAAGGTGAAACTACACCAGGCAATCAATTAAATGCGTTATTTATGGCACAAGCAACTTAAACTTGGAAAGCATAATAATAGACGGCATGGATTCTTTTAAGGCATTTATGAGAAGGGAGAGGGAGGGGGAGCAAGGGAGAGGGAGAAGAGGCGGGGAGGGAGGGAAAAGGCAGGGGGAGGGAGAGAGCGTTCACACCCTTGGATCCCGCGATGACGATGGTGGACATGTGGTCGCGAGAGGGTCTTTTGGATGGTCATGAGCCCCTTCCTCAAATGAACTCTGTATGACCTCAGGCCATACATGGTGCGGGCCCATCAGAACAGGGAACTGCGCACCCTCCGGCACGCCCTCCGCCTCCCGTGACGCTCACCTGCGGCCCACCATTGCCATGCAGACCGCAACCTGGTTTGCCACAATGTTTGAGACGTACATTAACTCTTTCAGTCTCTCACAAGGGTCTGGATCTGCCCTGCACGCCTGCCGATTTTGCTGGTCCTGAATAGAAAGCCCCAACAGCCTTTAGCTTGAGGAGACCCCGTAAATCTCTTGGAATGGTTTCGGACCATTTGGAGCACAGGGCATGGCTACCGCTACAGAAGTTAGCAGCCTGCAGCTGCTGGGGGACATGCCTGGTGGTGGCGAATGGGAAAGCTGTGGGACCGAATGATAACTGGGACTGCTCTGTTGCGACCCATCTGGCCATCCTCCCTTCATATACATCCCTTCCATTTCATACCAGACTGGCAGCAAGGGGTTTCAAAGCTGGGGAGTGGTTTCATCTTCTTAGTGATGACATCCTTTCAGAGCAGGACTTACATATCGTATCTTCCCGAGGGTAAAAAGCATGCTAAAGCTTTTCAGGAAGACAGCTGTGGCTCTTAAAATGAACTTAGTGCCTCCATTTCTAAACACAACTTCCTAGGGAGACTGCAGACTTACCATGACCATAACTCCATGAATCAAAGATAAGAGGCATTGATACTGTTTTCCCCAAACAGTTTAGCAACAAAATACTAAAATTCAAAAGGATTTTTAATGTCTTGGCCTGGGAGAGAAGTTGGCAGCTGGGTAGTAGTCTGCCTGTGGTCAGACACCTGGGGTGCCAGTAACATCAGCCTCAGGAAGGGGCATATTTGGCTCTGAAACCCTTTGCAGTGTGTTGGGGTGGGTGGTTAAATTGATTTCTGAAGTTGTGGGCCCACTTTTTAATTCCAGGTCTGGATTATGTCCAGCCACACATCTTCCTATATGCTTTCTCATTTCAAAACTGCAAATGCAAAGGGAAGGGTCACCATGAGGAAATAATCCCACAGTTTTATGGGTTCCTTCAGCACTCTTGTGAACATAAATTGAGCAACAAAATACCTACTAAGAAGATTTTCTCTTGTTAGTGTGCTTTTTTTCCATGATGGGAGATTTTTAAAAGAGGAAGGACTGGTGAGGAGAAATATTTCAGATTATTAGAATTGGCCCTAAAGGAACCTGTAATGACATATTACTGCTTTATAGACTGGGAAATCGGGGAACATGGCAGGAACATGCGGATCCTTGGCAGCCCTTGGGAACCTGGGTCCCGGACAAAAACCCTGTTAGGTAGAGTACCTGACAAGCAGATGGTCACTAAGCTAATGTATGAGCAGAAGGCTGGCAAGGACCAGCTGGAGGACCAGAGACTTCCCCCAGAGCCTGAGGTGCCCTTGCAGAACGGCTTCGCTGCTCTGCAGGCGGAAGAGGAAAGACCCATCACATCAGGAGAGATGCTGGAGCCGAGTAATGCAGCCCTATCTGCCCCCCGTATAACAACCAGCGCCACTAAGAAAAGGTGACAGGTGACAGCGGTAGGCAACTCTCTTCTGAGAGGTACGGAGGCACCCATTTGCTGACTGGAC